TATTACACCGAGATCACCCACGTTTTCAATCCGAAAAAAATCATTTTCCGGACTGAATTTGGATTATAATAAATAAACGAGCATTCCAGCCATTATTTCTACCCCTTCTGATTTTGTACTGGATTTTCTTTATTTTTTCAGTTCTCTCTTCAAGCTAGGGTTTTTGCTCTTCCACAAAAAAAGAGTTTGAACTCACGCTCTAGGGTATTCGATCTGCACCACCCAGCTTGTAATTCTCGATTTTCCACAGCATAGCAATGCCTCGGTGAGCATCCCGTGTTCGATTTGTTTGAGTTATTCATATCTCATTAAGAAGCTCGTTTTGATTTTGCGTCTTTGGTTGATTTTTTTTTTTTTGCAGGTACTACTGCGATTATTGTGATACATACTTGACCCACGACTCAGTAAGTTTTGCGATTCCCAAATCGATTTCTTCATTGATTTTGAATGAATGGATTCAAGTATTTGTAGCTATAGTAGTGTAAGTAGTTACATTGATCAAAACCATTCACTATTTCAAGCGACTTTTTGGTATCTGCTTATTGATGGTTGTATGAATGGTTGAATCCTTAATTCCAATCCTGTAAATGTCATGGATCATGGGTTTTTAGATTTTAGTTCATCCTGTCTCCTCATGTTTGAAAATTTTGTTTTGTTGTTTTTTATTTAACATGTTTTTGAATGTTAAAGGTTTGAATGGTGAATGTTTTGTGTTGCTGACTTCTTGTCTATTTTTGATGTTTAAGCCATCTGTGAGAAAGCAGCACAATGCAGGTTACAAACATAAGGTATGTTTGACATCTCCTAACACTAACTGAGTATAGTGTACAGTGTTTTTTTTTTTGGATTGGTTGATTTTGGTGTTATGCTTATTTGCTGATTTCCTACATAAATTTTAGGCAAATGTGAGAACCTACTATCAGCAATTTGAAGAGCAACAAACTCAGAGCTTAATCGACCAAAGAATTAAGGAACATCTTGGCCAGGCTGCAGCTTTCCAACAGGTTGGTGCTGCTTACAACCAGCATCTACTTGCTCAGAGGCCTCCCCATCCTGTTTTACCAACACCTATGATGCCTGTCAATCCACCATTGCTCCCAGGGATGCGGCCACCTATGTTGATGAGACCAGTTCCTGGTGCTCCTGGTAAACTCCTTTTTTTTTTATGCCTGTGTTTCTCACCACACCTTATACATGATTAGCAGCAACGATTTTTGGTATTGAGTTTTTTATGGTATTGCCAGGCTATGTCCCCACTCAAGGCATGCCACCAATGGTTGCTCCACCTGGAGCTCCTTCCTTCCCTGGTCAAATGAATGCTCTCCCCAGGCCTCCTACATTGGCTCCTCCAACAACCATCCCTGGAAGCGCAACACCTGCCTCTGCTAACGGAGCACCTTCCATGGTTACACCTACACCTTATCAAGGCAATCCTGCTGCGCCAACAAGTGTAGGCTTTGACAATTTCAATAGCAGTGCCCAGCCTCCTGAAGCTAAGCCTTAGTCTGGTCAAATCTGGAATGCTTTACTTCAATGTCACATGTAAGGTACTTAAGCAAGTGATGCATGTTATTGAACATGGAACTGAGCTGAACATTAGTGCTATAAAGACAGAAATTCATATGCTCTGTTTATATAGTGTTTTTTTATCAAAGATTTGTCTTGTAGACAGCATATGCGGTTGTTTATTTGGAAATTTGAAGAGGAAATCAAGGTGAACTTTTAAAATCAAATTCATTGCATTAGTTGTTTATCTTTTTTGGCCAGAACAGGAGATCATTGCATTAGTCAATTAGTTCACAGTAGGTATCCTAATTATTGCCTCACAATTGAAAATCTAGAACTAGGGAACAATGATTTAAGCCACTTATTTTTAACTTCTACTCTTGGTCACTAATATCCTCTTTCCAGCATTTGTATTGTACCTCCAGTTCTGAATGCCTTTTGTGACAATGTTAAAGACAATCAGGGAAGAGATGCAACATATCAGCGTGCAATGCTGATTTGTTTTATAATATGTTTTCATTGTTCTTGAGATAAAACTGCATCCAATTCATGCACTGCTGAATGCAAAATAATTCTTTAATGATCATTTTGTTACACAACATGCATTATTCTGCGCTGCATTGTAACTGTATCATTTCTGATTTTGATTGTAATGTAGCTTACTTTTCTTTCCAACTTTTTTTCTTATTCAAATAAGAAGGTTTTCTCTTCCACCTGGCATCCCACCCCATCTGCTTTGCTAAAATCAGACTTCGAGAAATGAAAATGCCTTATGGACTGGAGCCTTTCAATTTCCTTATTTTTTTGAACCAAAAGCCCTCCTCCTCCCGTTGCCTATTTCCAAAAAAAAAACGAAGCCCTCTTCCTCGTGCCAATTTTTTTGATGGGAAATTGCAAATGTATTTTTAGATCTACCTAAAAAAAAGTATAACATGTTGGTAATTTACTAAAGGCATTTAAATAATTTTGGAAGTATTTTTGTATTTTTTTTTTAAAGAAGTTGACTTGAAAAAAAATTATAATAACGTATCAAAAATGTATTTATAATAAAGAGATTATTGTTTATTAGTTGAACATCTAAAAATTAAATAGAAAAATACA